TGTCTCTTGGTGGCCCTCCATGGGGAGGGTGAGCCGGAGCCGTGGGCCGCCATCTTTGCCCCCATTTGGGAATCCCTGGTCTGGAATGAGTCCACCCCGGGGAAGGCAGAGCCCAGAAAGGGAGTGTTCAGATTCTCATTGGTGTTGTTCCACCACCTGACCCAGCCAAGCCCTGGACTTTTTAGGATTTGAGCCAGTGAGTTTCCCTCCTCTTTGCTTAAGCCAGTTTGAGTTGAGCTCAGTCATGCAACCCAAAAGAAGCCTTAATGAATACAGTGAATGTCTCACTTGGAGAGCAAAAATGAGATCAGAGGTAGCAGGCACTGAGAGGGAAGAGGGCTAGGGACAGTGACATGCGGGACTGGTTCGTATGTATTGGCTCCTGGAAACGGACTGTGCACATCTCTTCCCAGCTTAGGAGCAGCGCCTTTGCGTTGGGAGCTCGAAATCGGCTGTGCAGGAGGATTTACACCGAGGAACCTGGCAAACACTACAAATCATGCCTTCTTGTCCCTCCCCCAAACCCAAAGACCAGCTGCTGAACAGTCCCAGCACTCCACCAGCCACGTACGCGGAAGGGCCGGGCTCATGTGAGGCCTGGCTTCCCGGAGGCTCGGCCTAAGCATCTTAAAGCACCTGACTGCCCATCTCTGTGGGCCAAGTTGGCCAGAGCATTGCCAATGCTGCCCCGCACACGGGCCGCACAGGCCAGCCCACAGCTGAATCACGTTTGAGCAAAGACGAGAAGGATGGACGCTGGCGATTCTCCAGCTCCCGCCCTTCTACGTCTTCTCTCCCAACTTAGTCACTTGTTACTGGTCTACTTGTATTGGGACTCTCGGAAAGAAGTGACAGAAGCTTAAATCAACCGACTTCATCAAAAAAGAGCTTGATGAGTGCAGGGGCTGGTTTGGCCTCCGGCACAGCTGTGTTTAGAGGCTCCCACCATGGCCTCGGGCCTCCATTTCTCTCCACCTCTTGGCTTTGCTCTCTTTTGAGGACGGCAGGCCCAGGGCCACAGCTGACCCTCGCACAGCGCAGGCACAAAGAGAGATTCTCTTAACATTTCCAAGAAAAATTCTTTGGCTCTCGCTGGTCTGGCCTGAGTCTCATATCCACGCTGGGCCAAGTGCTGAAGCCAGAGGAATGGCTGCTTGGACTGGCCACACCCATTCTATGGTTCAAGCTTTGGGTAAAAATTCAAGAGGTTGAAATTCTTGACCAAAAGGAGGCCTTGACTTGTGATTCTGGGGAGAATTATCACCTGCGAAAGTCTAGCTTCCCAACCTGAAGTCTGACTCTGAGCTCCTGAGAGACACAGGAACATCTAGATTCCAGGGCGCACAGGATGTAAGACATCCAGACAACAATAATAACCACAGAGACGTCCCTGCCCCACCTGTCAGGAGGGTCCGGCGTGGGCTTCTTCTTGCTGGTGGTTGAGGGATGGCGTCCCAGGCTGACCCTTGCTGCCCACTGGCCCTCCCGTTGGTGTGGACACACTGGACACAGGCTTGGCTGAGCTGGAGCCAGGAGCCCTGCCTGGGTCGTGCGCAGACTGCTGGCTCTGCCGGGGACCTGACTGTGAGCTGGCCACACTCCCTGCATGTGCTAGCACTTTCCTCCCTTATGCTGAGGTTGGCGCCTGTGGCCTGATCTCTGTGCATGTTGGATGCAGATTTTTTCCATAGAGTGTTCATGCTCCTAAAATGCCTTCTTGGAGATCAGGGAATGCCGCTGTGAGGGCTCTGTGACCTCTGGCCAGGGGTCTCTCTGGGCCTCATATTTCCCATCTGTGCTGTGCTGTTACTCATCGGATGATGGTGCTTTTAAAGAGGCTATTTGCTTGTCTGTCCAGCGTACTCTCCCCTTTTAGAAATAGCATCACGACTTCCCCCGGGACCACCCCTTTCCTGAGCGTGTGGTCTTGGCAAGGACATGGTTCAGGGTATGGGGTGCTCCACTGACGGAGGGCTGGGTGAGCACCAGGCTCAGCTGCCAGACCCTTTCCCCCAGGACTCTGAATTATTTTGTCAAATGCATCTTCACAATACACATACAGAAATCCAAAGCGACCTTCAGAGTTTCTCATATTTCACGACTTAACGGAAATAAATCTGTCATACAGATATCAGCGTGACCCATAACTACACACAGAAATTACACAGGAAGAGTAGGAATTCTACAGTAACTCACCTACATCCATATCTGGTTTTCTCACAATTATTAGTATATTCACACAACTATTAACCAAGCAATTAACAGTTCAGGAGCTATTATTCTTTATTCAATCTTTTAAAGTTGCTGCATAAAATTTTTTAAAATAATATAAACCACGTTAAACCTGAAAATCCAATTTCCTTTGCTTCTTGGGAATTTGAACTTGGAACAAACCCACGACAGCAGAAAAATTTGGCACACCAAGTAAGTAAGCACATAAACCCCTGCTCCCCGATGGCTGAGCCGGGCTGGTTCTTTCCCGAGATCTGGGTGTCCAGCTCCGCCTTCTCTTCTCTGAGCTGGTCTTCTCCTTCCAAGAAGTTCTTCTTTGCTTCTGTGGGATGGAGTTGGGGTTTCCATCCCTCACTAGGTGAGCCCGACGTGAGAAGTTCCCTGAGAGATGTTGTGAAGACTGGCCAAGAGCAACTGGGAGCAACTGTGGGCACAGGGGTGGCTGCTCAGGAAACAGGGCCTCCTTTTCACCCATGAGGCGAGGACAGAGACACCTGGAAAGGCCCAGCGCAGGGAGACAGGGCTCCCCACCCTCCAGTCTATCAGAGGTGGGGCAGGTCAGTCTGGGCCTCTGCTCCATCTGGTCCCTCTCCCTGGGCTCCAAGAAGGCCAACACACGGCCATCACACATTCAGGGTGCTCAGAGTGGGCCTCCCATGTCGGGGGACAGAGAATTTTCAGGAGAATGCAGTCTTGACTAGGGGAAGTGCAAGCACAGAGTCACGGCAAAGCCAGGACACAGGGCTGGGCAGGAGGAGCTGAGAGAGTGTCCCAGGTGCTGGTGAAGGCAGACGGCGCCTTTGCACTGGCGCGGGATGAGTGCAGAGGCACATGTGAAAGCCTCTTCCCGCTGGAGTGTCTCCTATTGGTCACACAGACAGGTGGGCTCTGGGCCAGCAGCCAGAGCAGGGGATGCTGGGAGCTTGTCTCTGCAGACGCAGCGGCGCTGAGTGCCTCCCTAGGGTGGTCTCGCCTCTTCCCCCGACAGCCTTTGAAGTGGCCTCCTCCCTTTCTCCACTCTCAGGTGAGGAAATGGGGTCTTGTTTGTTCCTTTAACTTTTCGTTCAGTACTCATCCATCAGTTGACTGAGCACCTGGGGTGCCTGGTATGGAACAGTGATTCTGCCCTCATGGAGTTCACATCCTCACGGGGGCAGTGAACAAGACGACCGACCAAGGGCTGGCCCGGAAAGGACCTGGGCCCGGGGGCTATGTCAGGGGTGCCCAGGTTCAATAATTCCCTAGGAGGGTTCCCAGGACTCAGCATACAGCTGTACACATGGCTGAGATTTATTGCAGCAAAAGGACACAAGCAAAATCAGCCAAGGGAGAGAGAGGCGCCGACTGCGGAGCCTGGAGGAAACCAGGTGCAGCTTCCACAGGCCTCTCTGGCGGAGTGGCACGGGACGAGCCGAATCCCCCAGCAACGAGTTGTGACAGCACGTGTGGAGTGTGACGCACCAGGGATGCCCAACCTGGCATGTACCAAAATTCCCGACTCCCAGAAGGAAAATGGATGTTCAGCAGAAACAAGCCTCATAATGATACCAACAGGTGCTGGAAAATGCCAGGTGGATCTAGCAGCCGATCCTGATAAGCAAAATCAGGGTAGAAAGAACCTTCCCAAGGCTGCTGGAGTGTCCACCCCACACTCCTGAGGACTCCTGATGAGGATGCAAGGGCAAGGCTCAGGTGGAGCCCTTGGCACAGTGCTGGGACCCAGCGAGGGCTCATGGTGACGTGGGTTAAGGCTGCCGCAGGGAGAGAAGCCCAGGCGTCCAGGCCTACACGCCGATCTATACCATCCTCCAGGAAGCATACGACATCCTGACCTGACTCCCATCCAAAGTTATAGGACCACCCGATAACAGACCCCACCTGCACTGACACCATTTTAATGACTTTTTACATGATCTTTCCTTTGTCTGGTAAAGAAATAACTCCCATACCTATGCCTTATAAATTTAGCCCTGCCCTCAACACATTGCAGCCCTCACTGCCCGTGGGTCGTGTCCCCACGCTACTCCATGCTGTTCTCTGAATAAAAGAGCACTACTGCCAGACCCTGAGAGTCCAAGAAATCTTTCTTTTGACTCCTTGGCTTGCCGAGCCAGCATCAATGGCTCCTGGGGCCTCTCTCACCACCTCCCTGCCGCCCCACCACACAGCCATCCACCATTGTCATCCCAGACAGCCCCCTGCCTGGTCCCTGCTCCACCACTGCCCTCCTCCCGTCCTGTTCCTCAAAGCCGCAGGGAGTCCATTTAAAGCATCAGCCAGTTCACTGTCTGCTGGTGGCCCTCTCACTCTGAGTAAGAATCAGCGAGGTGACAGGCTCCGGACGCCCAGCCCTGCCGTTGCCATGGGCACCATGCCCTTCCTTCTCTCCTCTCCAGCTTCACCTCCGCCACGCCTCTCTCCTCACTTCTCTCCTCGAAGCTGCCATGTGTTTACATTTTTGTTAGCTCACTGTTTCTTTCTGCCCTAGAATGTAACCCGAGGGAGGGAAGCGACTTGACTTGCTCACAGTTTTGTCCCTGGTTGGTAAACCCGTGTGACTGTGGGTGATGGGTTATCGTCTTTAAGGCGAGCCTCGCTCTCCCCGCCCCCGTCTACTTCACACGTTCTTCCTGTTCCCGCCTCCACAATGCCGAGGCCCCTCTGTTCCTCGTCTCCAAACAACCGACACAAGCACATCATCCCCTTCTCTGCAAGCCCAAGGCCCACTCTCAGGAGGGGCAGGGGGAGAGAAGGCCCCTCAGGCTCACCTGACCCCTCAGTGGAGTCGTCGAATTCCACTTGGCAGAGGTAGCCCGTGTTCCAGACGTAGAGGCAGGCCGACGCGTGGTAGGAGACCTGAAGCGGCTGCAGCCGGGGGTCGTAGACGCTGTCCCTCTGGCAGATGTTGATGGGGGACTGCCGGGCGCCCCCTGGCATGCAGGCTGGGCCCTTCCAGAGGGGGTGAACTGGGGGGAAAGAAGGAAAAGGAGGCCCTGACTGATGTATCAGCCACTAGAGCCTCAGAGAGAGCTGGCAGAAACGGGGGCAAACGAGATCCCAGAGGAGCCAGCACTTCGGAACCGGCCCAGCGTAGAGCCTGGGGGCCACCAGACCACTTAGCAGCTTAGCCTCCACCCACGTGCACGGTGCCCTGCTCCGCCCCCACCCACGTGCACGGTGCCCTGCTCTGCCCCCGCCCACGTGCACGGTGCCCTGCTCCATCTCCAGGGGGGGTTCAGGGGTGGAGGCGGGAAAGTAAAGGTGAGCAGCTTGGTGTCTGGGGGTGGCGTGGTCGGGGGCGCGGAAGGCTGCTGGTGGGGAGGGAGGCAGAGTGTAGAGCGGTTAGGAACCTCTTCCCAGTCACATCGCACCCACCTGGATGATAGGAGGATGCCTCGGAGTCTTATCCTTCAACCTCTCCTGCAAGGAGGAGGTGAAACTACTCCAGCCGCATGACATTTAAGCAGAATGGCTCCCCTCCCCTCTTTTTTGAGGTTCCTGCTGCTCTGGGCTGCCGCCAGACCTGGCAGGGTTTTCTCTGTTCTTTGTAGACCCTTGAAGGAACACCCTGCAACAAACCCTTCCGCCAATGGCCTCCCATGGCCTAAAATCCCACCAATAGATTCGTGTGTCTGGCTTCCCTAAGGAAGTGCACATGTTGCTAAAAGAAACCCTATATACACAAATTTTTTTTTTTAAAGATTTTATTTTTTCCTTTTTCTCCCCAACGCCCCCCAGTACATAGTTGTATATTCTCTGTTGGGGGTCTTTCTAGCTGTGGCATGTGGGACGCCGCCTCAGCGTGGTTTGATGAGCGGTGCCATGTCCGCGCCCAGGATTCGAACCAACGAAACACTGGGCCGCCTGCAGCGGAGCGCGAGAACTTAACCACTCGGCCACGGGGCCAGCCCCCACAAATTTTTTTTTTAAGATTTTATTTTTTTCCTTTTTCTCCCCAAAGCCCCCTGGTACCTAGTTGTATAGTCTTAGTTGTGGGTCCTTCTAGTTGTGGCATGTGGGATGCTGCCTCAGCATGGTTTGATGAGCAGTGCCATGCCCGCGCCCAGGATTTGAACTGATGAAACACTGGGCCGCCTGCAGCGGAGCGCAAGAACTTAACCACTCAGCCACGGGGCCGGCCCCTATATACACAAATTTTTAAAAAAATGATTTACACCTAGATTTGCGAACAAGCTGGGGAGGGGTGCAGAGCTGGAAGCTGGAGGGCGTCGCAGTGAAGAGGCGCCCGCCTTACTCCTGTAGGAGATGACCGTCTGGGCTGAGGCTGGGGGAGAAATCCCCAGCCACGGTCCGGTTCTCGCTGACTCACAGAATCGGAGCCTTGACAGCGGAACGGAGGCTCGGCCATCATCTTACCTGATCTGGGGGTGCAGGCTGGGGGCCTGCAGCTAAGTCAGTGAGTGAGGCAGCTGGGGATGCTGACTCTTACCCTGAGGCTAGGAGGCAGGAGGAAGAGGTAGGGACTGTGGCAGGCTGGAGGGCATGGGTAGCATCTGTGGCCAGATCTTTAGGTTTTTCAAGAGGAGTTAAAAATACAGATTTTCGTGTGACCTCTCCCGATGTTTAAGTGTCGCCAAATAATTTTGTTTTAAAGTTTTCAACATTCTGCAGGGGGACAGACCCATTTGTGGGGCAAAATAATCAGCTCTCCCTACTCACTACCTGAGCTATTGGGCAAGTTATCCACACAACCCACCCTGGGCCTCCGTTTCCTCCTCTGGAAGGAGGAGAATAATAGCAGAGAATAACAGCGGGCTCTCAGAGACCAGCCAAGGTCGGAATACGCGTTAGCTCCTGCTTCTGCCTCACAGCCTGACAGACACTGTCTTCAGGCACAGAACTCCTTTAGTCCCCAGAATGACGACACTGTGCTCAGGGATGGAGCGGCCTGGAGTGTCCTGCAGGCATGTGCTGCCCTCCAGCTGGGCTCCCTCCTTTTCACGATGATGAATGGATGACCGTGGACTCCTGAGCCCGAGGAAGTGGCGGGCACCTGTGTCTGGGTGTCTTTTGCGCCAGCTTCCTTCCCCTTTACTTGGGTTGCACCAGCAGTTCTGGGTCTTCCACTGTTGTCTCCCGTGAGTTCCTCTGAGCCAGCGGTAATCACAATTGCGTCTGATGGGAAGTGACATTTAATAAACAGCGCAGCCTCACAACCCTGCTCGCATCCATCCTACCCACGGGGAAACGGGGCTTCGATCCGGTGGCCCCAACCTTCAATGCAGAGGGAACACGGGAGCAGCTACTGTCGCAGAGGAGGCCCACACTGGACCCGGAGACTCGGCTCAGCGCCCCCAACACACATGTGGAGACCCAGGTGTGGAAGGAAGAGTGGGCGCTTTGAGGTCGCATTTGCTGACCGGCACGAAGGGGCCGCCAACACGAACCACCGGCGATGAGCACAGTCTGACACCAAGTGAAAAGCTTTGCTCATCGCTGCATGCAAAGAGGTGACACCGCCTGAATACGGAACAGGCTTCCGTTTGTCGTGTCGGCCGCGTGTCTCCATGCCCAAAGCTGGTGTGTGTGCCGCAAAGTCAGTCTCGTGTTAGTTAAAGCAGGTCTTTGCGGGGAAGTAATAAAACAAAACATTATCCTTTTTTCCCATCATTCAGTGAATATTTATAGCGCTCCTCCTATGGCTCAAGCATTGGCACACATGCAGGGAAGGATCAGAGACACGTTGAACAGATCTTGGACCCACTGCAGTTTGCAGCCCAGCACAGCCTGGCCAACCCGCAAAGCTGGCAGATGGATGAGCAAGAAGTACCTGTTAAAATGTTCAAGAACATGCAGCAGCATGCTGAGAAATGTTTGTGCCGGCTCTCCCGAGGAATAGGAAGGCTGGATGTGTAGTGCTGGCCAATTCCCATGGTGTAAATACTCCCCAATTGATACCAACCCTGATATCAGTTTCCCCACATTAAACCCAGCATATATGGGGTTAAAACCAAAGCACTCATTCCCTGCTTACTCCCTGGCTTCCTGGCTCCAGAATCCACTATCCTCCATGGAGACAGACACTGCCAAGGACAAGTACCTGGATTCACTATCTCCTCCCTGCAAAGAGATCCAGGCTGATGGGAAAGCTCTGACCAGCAAGGCCATATGCTCCCGCTCCCCTACCTAAAACCCCAAATAAAAACCCTTCCTTTTAGCTTATCGGGGAGTTTGGGATTTCAGCGTTAGCTGTCCTCTCCTTGCCAAGCGCTGTGCAGTAATAAAATTCCTACTTTCTTCCACTATACCCAGTGTCAGAGATTGGCTTGCTGCGCAACGGGTGAGCGAACTCAGCTCAGGTTTGGTATCACAGTGTCCAGTTTTAAGCTGCCGACGTGGATGTCCCCACCACAGACTAAGGAAGAGATGCTCACTGTCCGTAGAAGGTGCCTCCTGCACATGCAGAAATTCAGCTGGAGAACGCTCAGCTGAAATGGTTCTAAAATTATTTCCGAACACTTTGTAACTCTTTGACTTTTCTCTCTAGGCTGAATTACCAGTAATTTTCAAATCATATTTGCTAACAAATTTTCTTTCTTCCCCAAATGAAATGTTCTGCCGAATACAAATAACAAAATACTAAACTAGAGAAATGAATTCCTTGGGAAGTTCACGTCTTCCCTGTTTGGCAGAATATATTCTGGTTTTTGCAGAACTCTGAACAACTCTGCAGAGCCCTAGGGTTTCCCCGGGCATGTGGAGAGAGCTTGTGAGGTGCCAGGCACTGTTAGAAACCTTTCCCAGCGTCACCTCATTTCATGTTTCCAACAGCATGGTGTGATAAGTACTGTTATTATTCACTTTACACAGGTGATGAAACTGAGGCTCAGAGAGGTTAAGAAACTTGCTGAGGGGCACCCAGCCTCAAAGTGGTGGGACCAGGAGTCCTGCCTATGTGGTCTGATGCTCTTCATGGTTTATTAAGTATACAAGAGGGGTAGGTACTGAGAGACAGTCGTAAAAATGCCTACAGTTAAATAACGAAAACCAAGGTGCAGATCGACAGTACGGTGCTGTGGTTTTCAGTTTTTGGATAGTCTCGTGAGTGTGTAGACACATGTTTCTGTGTGTTCCGAGGACAATGCCAGCAGTCTGTGCTCAAATAGGCAGTTGCCTCTGGGAATCGGGGTGGAGGGGCGCAGGCGGCAGGGTCTTCTGTAGGAGCGTGTGCCCTTCGGTAGGGCTTGAAATTTACAGGTGGGTCTGGGCCGCGCCCTGCGGTTGTGCATTTCTAGCAAGCTCCCGAGGGATGTGGTGTGGGGGCCCCCACTCTGAGTGTGAGTCAATGACATTCACTGAGAGCCTAGTGTGTGCCGGGCTTTCGATTCTCGTCATTTCATGGTCATGAGGCCCTGTGCACCATTTAGTCATCCCATTTTACATATGAGAAAACTGAGGCTCAGGGAGGTGGAGCAACCCACCCAGCTGACACATGTCACTAGTGCCCACCCCCAACCCCCCAAGCGACTGGCTCTGAAGCCCATGCCCTTTCAACTACCCAAACCTGGAAACTGTGGAATACTTATGTCAGAAGTGAACTTATCAGCCGTCATTGCCAACCCTTTATATCACACAGGCAGAGTCTGAGAGCCACCAAGAGGAAGGGACAAGTCCAGGGTCACAGAGCATTAAGGACTCAGCCAGGATGAGGCTGACTCGGGCAGCCTCTGGGCAGAGCTGCCTGGTGATCCACTTATTTAACGTTTGCTGAAAATGTTCTCTGCTGGGGGGGTTTTGGAGCTCTGATGACCACTTGGAGTGGCTCCTTCTGTTGATAATAACAGTTTATTTTGAGGGAACTCTTGCTCCCTGCCTTGTTCTGGGCATCTTGCCCTCTCGTTGGCCCCGTGAAACTGAGGTTAAGGACTTGCCCAAGGGCACCCAGAGGAAAGAGAAAGAGTGGAAATCTGAATCCCAGCAGTCTGGCTTGGGACAGTCTCCCATTTTGAAAGACACGATAAAATGGGACCAACACCAGGTCGCCCCTGGAGGAACGCGAGGACCTACTTACGAGTGTTGCTGCTGTTCCTCTGAGCACAGGGACGCCGTGAGCACCGTCGCGCCAGCCTTAGCGGATGACTGCCGAGAGTCCCCCACATCTGCTTGACCAAGACGGAGAGACCCGAGGACTTTGGGGTCCTTAGCATCCTGGGTCTGTTCCCCGTGGACCCCAATAAAAAGAGGGTGATTTTTTCCCTCCTGTCTGTTCTTACTTCAATGGGGACACACGAGGAGTGGAGTGGACTCACCTCTTTTTCGTAGACGCTCACTCAAACCCCTGAGCCTGATGGTTAAATTTCAACCCGTGCCCGCCCCAGCTTCGTGGATGCTGTTGGGTTTGGCCTGGGGGCAGTGCTGTACTGTGGCGAGTGGCCTGCGCCCGTGGCGTTTCCCTTAGGTCACCGGGCTTTGCTCTAGTAAACAGTGGGGTGAGTGTGTCAGGAGTCAGGAGAACTTTATGGAGAGCCCGCTGCGAGAACTGGGGAGGGGGCCAGAGGCAGAGATGAGGGCAAAGCCCTGCTCTTGGGGGTCACCCCTCCTTTGGACTGGGCAGCTCCCCAGCTGCGGGCGGCTCCAGAGCAGGCACCGAGCCACACTGTGTGTGTGTATAGGGAATGGCAGGTTTAGAAGCACAGCGATGGGACGCGAATGACCCTAAGCTGCCGGGTGGATGGTCAGGAGAGCAGAGGACCCCTCTCTGCCCAGGACTCCCGGAAAAGCAGCCAGTCCCACTTTCCAAAAAACAGATACGATTTGGTACAAAGTCCTTCTGCCTTAAAGCAAGATGTCCCAGGTTGTGGCCTTGTCTCAGCATAAATATTAATAGTGCCTCTTTCACGCACAAAATTGTCCACCTTTGGACAATAAATTAGATGGGCGCCCAACAGTACAACTTGTAATATTTGCAGATGCAGATAACAGAAAACCACACTTTGGCCCATCCAGCAGTTTACTCCCCAGACCCTCTTTATCTGGGCAGTGGAGACTACGTGGTTCACAGGGAACAGCTTACCATTTTTGGGGGTGGGGGATTTAAACTTAGAAGCTTCGAGGGGGCAGGGATATCATCACTTATCACAGAATCCTGGAATCTCAGATGTGGGTAACCCCACAGAACAGGGGTTCTGAACTTTGAGCCCCCCGGGGGCTCCCGAGAACCCAAGAACCCCCGTGATCAGATGCAAGGTTTGGTCTCCAGCCTTCACCAATTCTCCGACGGGCCACGAGTTGGATCACCTTGCTGGCATCAACAAAAGCCAAGCCTGGAATGCACATGTTTTCTTCCCACGGGGTCATTTTAGAAATGTACCTACCTTTGGGTGGCTCCATTCGTTCACTGACTTTTGCCTGTTTCCTCATCTGCGAAGCCGGGAGATAACAGCACTGACTCTGCTGTGTGGTTGTGAAGGTTTAGAGAATTGATACAAGTGAAGCACTTAGAATGGTGCCACTTCTATTACCACACGCGAGCACCATGTTCCAAGCCCTGGCCGAGGCCTGAACGCGCGCACGCTTCCCCCGGGGTTGGCGAGCCGGTCAGCCAACACTTGCAGGCCCCTTTGCTCTTCCGGTCGCGTCCTCAGCCATCTTCGGCTTGCCTATTTAGGTAGATTGCATCACTGGCCATCCCTGTGGGCCTGGGGTCTCCTCAGCCTCCCTGGAGCCACCTGGCAGGGCTGTGCTCCATTTAGAAAACACCACCACCCAGCTTGTCCCGCACATCCTCACAGCTGACTTGGACAGCACTGCAATCTCTCTTGAAATTAAAAAAATTTCAAGCAGTTCAAAAGTGAAAGTAAAAGTCTCTCTCTTTCCCAGAGTGAGCCTCTGACGGCAGTTTCTTGTGGCTCTTCCTGGAAATTTCCATGATATATAAGCCTGTATAGGTGTGTGTTTCTCCCTATTTTTAATACAGGAGACAACCATACCCTACGTAGAGGATATACATGCTATATATAGTCACCTAATAATTATCATTACTGGTAAGATGAGCACTGTTTGCAGTTCCTGGGAACCCTTCTTGAGATTCCCCCCAAGAGTGGAGAGAAAACCAAGCCCAGAGATGGGAAGAGTGAGGAGGAAGAGACAGATTCAGAGAGAGAGACAGAGAGACACACACAGAGAACACGGCATTGCTTCAGCCAAGCAATTTCTATTCCTATATCCTGAAGTCTACTTCCGAACTTATCAGTTATATCAATCAATAAGTTTCTTTTATTAAGCTAGTTTAATGTCTTTTCTCTGTATTCCAAGGGGTCCTAACTCAGCAGACATTTTAGTCTCCATCTTACAGATGAAGGAGCCAAAGCTGAGAGTGGAGATGTGCATTGTCTAAGTTCTCCCCAGCTAGAAAGCGGCGGAGGCAGGCTCAAGTACGTGGCCTTGAGCTCATTACCTCTTTGAGCCCGACCGCATGGCTGTTCTTCACTCCACAGGGATGCGCATCAGGTGCACAATCAGTGATGTTGTACTGCAGGGAAGTGGCCATTCATCTATTCCAAATTCTTACCTGGTTCAAGGAGATTTTTGGTTGGAATAAAAAGTGTGCATGGCAGACCATGCTTCAATTATCTATTGCTGCCTACCCCAAACCACCCCAAAACTCAGTGGCTAACAACGACAATCATTTATTGAGCTCACTCATCCACAATTTGGGCAGGGCTCAGTGGAAATAGCTCATCTCTGCTCTAGGAGGCGCTGGCCGAGATGGCTTATCTGGGGTTGGAGGATCCACTTGCAAGATAGTGCTCCCACATGGCTAGTGAGGTGGTGCTGGTTGTCAGTTCCTCTCTATGTGCACCTCTTTGAATCAGGAAGTCAGCATTTGCTCATCCAAAATAAGGAAAAGTATTATTTGGGAGGTCAAGCAGGTTCTTTGATAAGTTATTCCTAGAGTTACTTACCATGTGATCTGGCAATTCCATTCCTAGGTGAATACCCAAGAGAAATGAAAACATACATCCAGACAAACACTTGTACTCAAATGTTCACAGAAGCATTATTCACAATAACCAAAAGGCAGAAATAACCCAAATGTCCATTGATGGATGAGTAGATAAACAAAAGTGGTATATCACAAAATGCAATTATCCAGCCATAAAAAGGAATGAAGCTACAGTAATCAAGACAGTGTGGTACAGGTAAAAGAACAGACAAATAGATCAATGGAACAGAAGAGAGCCCAGAAATAGACCAACATAAATATGGTCAACTGGTCTTTGACAAAGGAGCAAAGGCAAAACAACGGAGCAAACATAGTCTCTTCAATGAACGGTGCTGGAACCACTGGACATCCACATGCAAAGAAACGGATCTGGACACAGACCCTACTCAGTTCCCAAAAGTCAACTCAAAATGGATCACAGACCTAAATGTAAAATGAAAAACTCTAAAACTGCTGTAAGATAACATAGCACAAAACCTAGATGACCTTGAGTATGGCAACGACCTTTCAGATACAGCACCAAAGACATGATCCATGAAATACATGGCTGATAAACTGGACTTCAATAAAATTAAAAACTTCTGCTCTGTGAAAGACACTGTCAAGAGGATGAGAAGACAAGCCACAGAGTAGGAGAAAATACTTGCAAAAGGAATAAAGAATACACAAGAGTGAACCCCAGTGTAAACTATGGACTCTAGGCAATGATCATGTCGATCCAGGTTCACCAGTTGGATCAAATGCACCACTCTGGTGGGATGGCGATAACAGTGGAGCCTGTGTGTCTGGAGGGGCTTGGGGTAGATGGGAAATCTCTGTACCTTTCTGCTCAACTTTGCTATAAACTGAAAACTGCTCTAAAAAATAAAGATGATTATTTTTTTTTAAAAAAAGTGAAGTACTGGCACATGCTCCAACAAGGATAAACCTTGAAAACATGGTGCTGAGTGAAAGAAGCCACTCACAAAAGGCCACATATGTATGAAGTCATTTATATGAAATGTCCAGAATAGGTCAAGGTGTAGAGATAGGAAGTAGGTCAGTGGCTGCCGTGGGGTGGGGGTAGGGGCAAGGAAGGAATGGGGAGTGACTGCAGTCGGGTACAGGGTTTCCTTTCAGGGTGATGAAAAAGTTCTGGAACCAGCTAGTGGTGATGGATGCACGACATTGTGAACGTACTTAATGCCACTGAACTGCACACCTTAAAAGGGTAAATTTTATGGTGTATGTATTTAATCACAATAAAAAAATAGAGGAGAAAAAAGCAGTCAAGCAGGTTTGCAAGGTGTAGATGGAGCAGCAGGTTATTCCATGATTTAGGGGAAGGCACAGAACTTGGAACCCAGGGAGCGGTCAATAGTGGCAGCTATTGATATTTCATCAGCAGTCGGACCATTGTCTAAGTCGCTTGTATAGACGGAAAGTTTTACCTAAAAAAAATCAGGATAAGTGTCCCCTTTGTGCCAACAGCTGCAATAAGCACTTTCCATGGTCAATTTCAAAACTTAGAAACAACTCTGCAAGGTAGATTTAATTGTCCCATTTTACAGGTGAGGCTCCTGGGCCCAGGGATGTTATGTCACAGAGCCACACAGAGTAACGTGAGCTGGGCGTGGAGCCCAGGGCGGTCTGCACTCAAAGCAGCACTGCCTCATGCATGACTCTCCTGAGGCCTCACCACCCACTCACAGGGGACAAGACTCCAGCGCAGGAGGCTCAGGCAGCCCTCCCGAGTTCACAGGACATCACAGCCATGCTGCAGCAGTTGGGTGGGTCCCAGTTCGCATAAAACATTAAAAAAATCCATTATCTATCTATCTGTCTATCTATCTATCTATCTGTCTGTCTGTCTGTCTATCTATCATCTATCTATCAATTTTCCAGTGTTATTGAGGTGTAATTGACAAATAAAATAATGATTTAATATACATACACATTGTGAATGAATTACCAAATCAGGTTAATTAACACCTCCACCTCACATAGTTCCCATTTTTCTTTTTTGTGGTGAGAATTGTTGAGATCTTACTAAATTTTAAGCGTGAAGTACAGTATTATTAACTATAATCACCGTGCTGTACAACAGATCTCCAGAACTTACTCCTCTTATAACTGGAAGTTTGTACCTTTGACCAACATCTCCCATTTCCCCGCCCCCCAGCCTCCGGCAGCCACCATTCTACTCTCTGGTTTTGTAAGTTCGACTTTTTTAGATTCCACACATATAAGTGAGATCATACAGTATTTGTCTTTCTGCGTCTGGCTTATTTCATTTAGGATAATGTCCTCTAGATTCACTCATGTTATCACAAATGGCAGAATTTCCTTCTTTCTTGTGTTGAATAATATTCCATTGTACATGTATATACATATGTACAATATATATATACACACCACGTCTTCCTGAGCCATTCATCTGTTGACAGACGGTCAGGTTGTTTCCATATCTTGGCTATTGTGAATAATACTGCTGTGAACACAGGGCTGCAGACATCTCTCTGAGATACTGATTTCTCTCCTTTGGATAAATACTCAGAAGTGGGATTGCTAGATCAAATGGTGGTCCTATTTTGAATTTTTTGAGAAACCTCCCTATTGTTGTCCATAGTGGCTGCAGCAACTTACGTTCCCACCAACGGTGCACAGGATTCCCTTCTCTGTGCATCCTCCCCAACACTTCTCACCTCTTGTCTTTCTGATAACAGCCATTCTGACAGGTGGGAGGTGATAGCTCATTGTGGTTTCAATTTGCATTTCCCTGATGATTAGTGATGTTGAGCATCTTTTCATGTACCTGTATGTCTTCTTTGGAAAAATGTCTATTCGGGTCCTCAGCTCATTTTAAAATCAGGGGCTTTTTTTCTGCTATTGAGTTCTATAAGTTCTTTATATATTTTAGATATTAACTGATTATCAGATAGATGTTTGCAAATATTTTCTCCCATTCTTTAGGCTGCCTTTTCATTTTGTTGTATGAAACTTTTCAGTATGATGTAGTCCCACTTTTTGTTGGTGCTGCCTCGCTTTTGGTGTCATATCCAAAAAATCATTGCCAAGATCAATATCAAGAAGCTTTTCCCCTCTGTTTTCTTCTGGGAGTTTTATAGTTTCAGGTCTTATATTTAAGCCTTTCATCCACTTCGAGTTAAAGTTATGTACGGTGTAAGATAGGGGTCAAATTTCCTTCTTTTGTATGTGAATATTCAGCTTTCCCAACCTCATTTACTGAAGAGACTGTCCTTTCCCCATTGCATATTCTTGGTGCCCTTGTCAAAGATTAGTTGACCGAATATGCGTGGATTTATGTGTGGGCTCTCTATTCTTCTCCATTGATCTATACACCTGTTTTTATGCCAACACCGTTTTGTTTTCATTACTATAGCTTTGTAGTACAGCTTGAAATCAGGGATTTTGATGCCTCCAGCTTTGTTCTTTCTCGGGATTGCTTTGGCTATTCAGGGTCTCTTGTGATTCCATACAAATTTTAGGATCGTTTTTTCTATTTCTGTGGAAAATGACATTGGAGTTTTGATAAGGATTGCGATGAATCCGTAGATGGCTTTGAATAGTGTGAACATTTTAAGAGCATTACTTCTTCCAGTCCATGAGGATGGACTGTCTTTCCGTTTATTTGTGTCTTCTTCAGTTTCTTTCATCAATGACACAGTTTTCAGTGTACAGGTCTTTTACTTTTTTGGTCAAATTTATTCTTCAGTATTTTCTTATTTTGATGCTGTTGTGAATGGGGCTATTTTTTCCCTTCTTTTTCAGACAGTTCGTCGTTAGTGTATGGAAACAACTGATTTTGGTATGCTTGTTTTGCATCCTGCAACTTTCCTGAATCCATTTATTAGTTCTAACAGTTTTCGGGTGGAGTTTTTAGGGTTTTCCATGTACAAGATCAGGTTGTCTGAAAACAGAGACAATTTAACTTCTTTCTTTCTGATTTAGGTGCCTTTTCTTTTTCTCGACTCACTGTTCTGGCTGGGACTTCCAGTACCATGCTGAACAGAAGTGGCAAGAGTGGGCATTTTGTCTTGTTCCTGGTCTTAGAGAAAAAGCTTTTCACCTTTCTGTTGCGTGTTAACTGTGGCCTTGCCATGTATGGCCTTCATTATGTTGAGCTTTGTTCCTCCTATACCCTATTTGTTGAAGGTTTTTATCATGGAGGATGCTGAATTTTGTCAAACGCTTTTTCTGCATCTATTGAGATGACCATGTGATTTCTATCCTTCATTTTGTTAATGTGGTGTAGCACATCATGGACGGGTGTCTCCCTCCGGGTCCCCGGGTGGGCAGGACTGCTCCTGGACCACGGCTAAGAGGGGTTAGAGCCAGGTCCCAGGGCTGTTTCGGAGCCCACAGCCAGAACCAAATCCAGCAGGCCTGTTACCTCAGGCATGGGCAGGCCAGATTCCTGCCAGGTCCCTTGGCAGATGGTGCTGGCGGTAGGACCAAGGCCAAAGGGAGCTGTAGGCGAGTCCACATGTGGATGGGCCTGATTCTGGGTCTGTAGCTGAGACCAAGGTCAGGGAGTCAGCCACCTGGGTACAGGCCAACTCAAATGACCCTGTTTGGTCTTGGGCTCTGCCAGGGTTTCACAGTCTGCTACCTGGATCCCAAAGTTCCCACAAAGGGACTTCTGTCTGTGGATGGCTACCTGATTATTGTTGCTGAGGCGGGATATGATAGGGGACCTCCTATTCTGCTTTGTTGCTGACATTACTTCCTGATCCTTAAACCTCTGGATGGCCCAGAACGTGTGGCTGTGGGCTGTCTCAGCTCTGGGCAGAAACCAAGCCAGGGGAGATGGGGCTCCAGTGAGTGCTGGGGGCTGCTGCTTCTCATTTTCCCTGAATTATCCTATGAGCTCCATCTCTAGGACCCCAGTTCACCCCCAAACCTGATCTCTTCCCAGCAGGTACCAGGAACCCATTAGTGCCCCCGTGTGAAGCAGAAAGAGGTGTCCCGGGGTCGGGGAGGAAGTACAGAAGAGTTACAGAAGAGGCCCCCTTGGGTGGACCAACTACAATGGGCACTGTTCAGGGCAGTCTACACAGCCGTGGGTGGCGGCCAGCAGCTGGTGGTGCGCATGGTTCCCCATCGCAGGGAATGGGGCTTCCATTCACGGGGTTTTACACAATTACAGGCCAGACTGCATCCCACACGCCCCCCTCCCTTACTCCTCAGTATCAGATTCAGGGGCAAATCCTGCTGATTTCACCCCTTGGAATCTCTTGATTCAGTCCACTTCTCTGCATCTCAGTCTCTGCTGTGACCGCCCTAGTCCAGGCTTCCATCCTCTCCTGCCTGGACCCCTGCCACAGCCTCAAGTGGGGGACCCAAATCCTCTCAGCCCCCCTCCTGCCACCCCCAATTTATTTGCCAGCACTCCAGCCAGAGTGACTTTTGAAAATGCAACTCTGATCATATACACCCTTGCCCCAAACCTTGTAAAGGCTTTCCATTATTTGAGGATCAAGACAAAATTTGTCGCTTGGCCAGTAAAGCCCTGCATAGCCCACATCCCGTCACATCTCACAACCTTCCTCCTCAAAGTTCTGGCACTACTATAGCTGTGCGACCCTGGGTGTTTGGTTAATTTCTCTGAATTTCATGTTCTGCAAAGAATAGAGAGCACAATAAGAGGTGCCTGGCTCAAAGTGTGGTAACTCAACACATAGTAACATGATCATTTCCTGAGTCAGACCCTCGCCAAACTCTGCTTCATGGAATCTTCCCAACATCCCATGAGCTGTGAGTTGGAGCCAGTTTCCCCGCTGGGCAGGAAGGAGCAGGCAAAGCCACAACAGAAAGGGGGCTCAGACGAGGCCTGTGTGACATTTGGAAATGATATGAATGTCACTCTACGTTTATCTGCTTTCTAGTTGGATATTCACGTACTTATGTTAAGACTTCTTGCATAGTTATGTGTAGATTTGGCCATGATTGAGGCAGAGGTGGGGCTTGAAGGCACGGCTCTCTAGAATTTTCCTGTCCCCAGGGTTTTCTCTCAGGATTGTGTGGTCAGCTTCTGCAATCCTTTTCCCCACTGTGAGTGGACACTAGGTCAAGGTGTTTTGGATTCCGTACCCCACTTCTGTCTCTTTCCAGCCATGTGACCTTGCTGAACAATTTTCCCAATATCTTTGGATTGCGCATCTCTAAACAGGACAGAGCTCATTGCACTATCAGCATCTTTTCCAGCGTTGATCTGCTTCTTTGGAATTTCTTTAAGGCACTTTTCCTGCAGAAGAATTCAGTCACCGGCCTCTGCAGAACCCCAGGTGTTAATCCTGGAAGAGACCCTAACTCAACAAGGTTGCCCAAGGTCGCACAGCTGGTACTGCCCTCAATCAGGTTTTCATTGCCAGGGAAGGGAAGTAGGCAGGAGACTCTCAGAAAAGCGGTTTCTTTTCCAAATGAAAACAGCTCTCTCGTTTTGTTTGGATGATCTTTGTAAACAACTCAGAAAATAGAGGAGAGAACGTATAAAAAAGAAAAATGAAAAACAATGGTAATCCCAGCAAAGAGATAGATAAGCAGGAATAACGTTTCTGGAAATTGACTACAGTTGCGGAATTTTTTCCTACCAGTACCCACAAACGCACGTTTATGCTATATAAATACAATGTAACCACATTCATATTATGTTTATATTCACGTATAATATAGCTAATACATTACATATATACATATTATATATAACGTATTCATTACATGTAAAATGCATAAACATATAATTTATGTATATTGTTTCCACTCGCGTGCACTCGAGACTGTATATACAGACGCTGGGGAATCCTGAGCACCAGCAACATTTGGGGGAACTGAGCCGGGGCACGGGACGGACCCAGCCGCCTGGAGGATCTGAACTACAAGTCCCAGCGGCCCACGGCTCGCGCGCGCGGGGTAGGTGACCGGAGTGCGGAGAGACTACAAGTACCGGCGGGCATGGCGCAAACGCAGGGACTACAAGTCACAAGATGCACTGCTCACGGTTCGCGCAGGGCCCTCCGGGATATGTAGTCGTCTGGAGAGGGGTAGCTAACTCCTATTCATTCAGCCTCAAAGAAAATGCAAATTCTTCCAACGGTCCACCTATGCGGCTTCTCACGGGGCTGTCGAGGAGACTGAGTGCACGATGGGGTAGTAAAAACTGCGCACCGCCCAAACTGTGGCGCAGGAGAACGACGCATGCGCATGATCGGCGGTCGTCGGCGCAGGCGAAGGGCGCGCAGGAGGCTTCGAGGGGCAGGCCCCGCCCCTCGCCCCGCCCTGCCCCGCGCCCGGCGCGTCCCACCCGGGGAGCCTGCGCAGACGGGGCGGGGCGGAGGGCCGCGGGGAGGGACTCGTGGCGCCTGCGCAGAGCGGCGGCTTCTCTCGCGAGGACGGACGCCATTATCGCATCTCCCCGACAAACACCACGAGAATTCCGCAGCCCACACGGTAATTGCAGCTCCCGCAGCCGGTCGCGTCTCCACCTCCCCCTTCCCGCGGGGCGAGAGCGAGAGCGAGATCTCCCCTCCTCCCTCCTCCCTGCGCCCTCCTCCGGCCGCCGCGCCCGCCGCCCCCGCCCGGGACGCCTTGCCCGGCCCGCCGGTCGCCCGCCGCCCCCTCGGCCCCCTCAACCCCCGGCCCCGCCGTCCTCTCGGCCCTCTCCGCGCCCTCGGGCCCGGCCTCGCCCCCTCAGCCCCTCCGGACCTGCCCGCGTTCCTGCGTCCCCGCCGGCCCTCGGACCTGTCAGCCCTCCGGGCCAGCCCGGTTCCTGCCGGCCGTCCTCAGCGCCCTCGTCCCCTCAGTCTCCCGCCTCCCGGCCCCGTCTGCCGCCCGGGCTCCGCGTCTTCAGAAGAGGGTGGCGTCCCGGCTGCGAGCCCACTCCCGCAGCCGCGCGGGCGGGGCCGGCCCCCGAGTCCCGCGCAGGACGCCCGCGGCGGGGCGTGGGCCGGGGGCGCCTGGCTGCGCAGCCGGGAGACCAGGAAGGCGCGGGGGCGTCCGCGGGGCCGTGGCCCGTCAGGCCGCCGGGAGCAGCCGGAGCCCCCGCTGGCGGGCGTCCCGACTCCGTGCGGTGTCCGCGGCTGCGTCCCTGCGGAAGGGGCTGTAGTATGTGGCCCTGAGGCGTCTTCCCCCCGGGCCGCGGAGGAGGCCGCCCGTGCCCCCGTGGGCGCGCGCCGGGCCGGGCCGGGAGGCGGGTCAGCCCCGGGTCAGAGTCCGAGCGCGGGGCGGGTCGCCTGTCGCAGGCCCCGGCGCCGCGGCCGGCTCCGAGGCGGCCTGGTGACGAGGGGCGTGGGAACGGAAGTCCGGGAGACGGGGCGAAAACGGGGTGGGCGGCGGGCCCCGGAGAGCGAGGGCGCGTGACGTCAGAACGCGGGTGGTGTCGCTGACGTCCTGCCGTGGGGACAACCCTGGGGACAGTGTGTGGTGCGCCACCGGCAGCGCCCGTCGCTGTGTCTTCAGCTGCGTTTCCCGTCCGTCCTGCAGTTGAGTGAGGGTGTGTCCCGGGAGGAGGCTTCTGTCGCCGGGGGCTCTGACTTAAGGAGCGCTGCGCTTGGGGGGCGCGTGCTCTCACGGTCCGGGGCGGCGGGGAAGTGAGCTCCGCCTGCTGGGTCCGCCATCGGCGTTGCAAAGGAGCGTCCAGCGAGGTGTCCGTGCAGCGCGAGCCGCGGTCCCCGTGCGCCTACGGTCCCTCCCCGGGGACTTTGGTCTCTGTAGTTTGCTCAGGAGGTTCTCCGTAGCCCCAAGTGAGAAGCGGCTGTCTTAGGAATCTTAGGCGTCCCTGACTTTCCGTTGGGACGGGATGGTTTAGCTCTTCCTGTCGCATCGCGCTCCCTTATCCCGACGTCACTAAGTTCGGTTAACTCGGTTGTCATCGCTGTGCGAGTGCTGCTCGCTTCGCAGCCGGGGACGCCTTTCCCTTCTTCACAGCGCTGCTTCTCTGTTGTTGGTAACGGTCTTGCGTTTACTGCCCCCATCGGCTCCCTACGTTGTTTTGCATTCTCGAGGGTGGCGTCGGGTCCCGCCGCCCCGTCCTCTCTCTCCAGGCTAGATTGATTGTCCTGATACTTTCCCTTCTTAGACGTCTGCGTTGTTCAGGACTCCATGTCTCAATCTTGGCTTTCTTCATCGTTTCAATGAGACCCTTCTGCCAAGTAGCCTTCTTCTTTTTGGGTGACTCCTTAGGGTCCTCTTTGGTTTCAGGACATTCCCAGAGTGTCAGAGGATGGGGAGTGCATTGCAAATGCTCTTTGACTCGGGGCTCGTCCTTCAGCCCTGGGGAATTCTCTCGTATCATTTATTTGAGAATTTCTCCCACTTTGCTTTTACTCTTCTCCCTTTGGAGTTCCTGTTAGTTTGGCAGTGGACATCGTGGGTTGACCCCGCAAATTCCTTGTCTTGATCTTCTTCCTGTTGACCCCCTGAGTCTCTTGTCTTTATCTTCTTCCTGTGTCATTTTATTCTCATTTCTGGGAGAGGGCGTCAATTTATCTTCCAATCCTATTTTAAGGTTTTTATTTCTACAATCGAAATTTTAATTTCCAAGAGCTTATTGTTTTTTTTTTTTTTAGAAACACTGTTTTGTGAATACACCCATTGTCTCCTTGACTCTGAGGATACTAATAAGGATTTTCTTCAGTTCTCGTTCTCTGATTTCTGGTTTCCTCTAGTGTCACTGTTGTTTTCTTTTTGAAAATAGTGGTTTCTTGCTTTGTATAGCAGGTACTCCTCAAATATTCCTTTTTTTTTTTTTTTCTGAGGAAGATTAGCCTTGAGCTAACATCCATGCCCATCTTCCCCTACTTTATATGTGGGACGCCTACCACAGCATGGCGTGCCAACCGTTGCCGTGTCCACACCCAGCATCTGAATCGGCCAGCCCTGGGTTGCCGAAGTGGAACGTGCGCACTTAACCGCTGCACCACCGGGCCAGCCCCTACTCAAGTATTGTTCATTGTTGTCTGAGGCAAGAGGAAGTGGGCAGAGAGCTCTGAGTCTGGGGCTGCTTTTGAAAATGTGTGGGTTTCCCTTCGGGTGATTGGGAGCTTTACTGTGCTGGGGCCTCAAATGCCACATTGCAGAGAGATTTTCTCTGGGCCTTTCAACCTAAGGAAGACCCTTTTGGTTGGGGGCTTCTCCACTTGGTCTAGGAAGGGCCCTCGTACAGCTCTTCTGTCCTGATGACTTCCCTGTGCAGGCTCGGCCCTCGCCCTCTGCTGAGGGTTCCTGTCTGCTCAGGCTTAGAGCCCTCCTTTGGGTGCACCCACTCCTCTGTGCTCCAGGTTGCTGTTTCCTTTGCTCTCCTTAGAGCCTCTTAGTCTGCTAGAAATTTGTGAAAGCTCTCGCCTGCTGTCTTGTTTCCTTTCTTGTGGGTTTATTATATGCTATTAAAAATCATTTTAATGGGATGAGTGGCGATCACCTGTGTGGCCTGTCGCTCACTGTGAGCAAGAATTCCGGAGCCCGTTCTCATCATTCTGCTGTCCTGCCTCCCGGTGGCCTTGGTGATGGACGCCCACCATCAGTGGGACAGACGGCCAGATCATCATCCCCTGGCCATCTCCACATTGCAATGTGGGCTGATGGCGTGCGTTCCTGCTCGAGGTTCTTCTGGCTCCACAGCCTGGAGGGGCGCCAGGCTCAGCTGGGGAAGGCCAACCATGGACGCGTGTTGTAGTGAAGATTTTGATTGCAGTACGAAGATAGCAGCTCAGAGTGCCGAAGTTTAAGGAATGCCTCTAGTTAAGCAGTGATTACTGTATTTGAAGTGTAGTCATGATGCGTTTTAGTCGACTGTTCTTTGAAGATTGTGCACAGTGAAATGGGTGAGCTGCGTTTGCCAGGGCTTTGCTGGTAAAGTGGTCCATGGACATCGTCATTGCCATCACTGGGTGTTTGAGAGAAATGCAGACTCTCAGGCTCTCAGACGTATAGAATCAGAATCTGCAGCTTTGTAAACTTTTAATTTTGTAGTAATTTTGGACTTACAGAAAAGTTGCAAAAATAGTTCGGAGAGTTTCCCTATTTCCTTCATCCACTTCCTTTAATGCTGACATCTTACATAATCAAATGTCCTTATAAAAATCAAAAAGGTAACGTTGGCACAGATCTGTTAACTAAATTACAGACCTCTTTGAACTCATCAGTTTTCCACTAACGTCATTTTTCTGTTTCAGGATCTAATCCAGGATCCCACTCTGTATTTAGTTGTGTTTCCTTAAGTCTCCTCCAATCTGTGATATTTGCATAGCCCCAAACTATCTCCCCCAAGATATTTATAAATTACAAAGGGAAAAATAGTAGCTGCTCCCTGGAAAACCCGGCCGATAGCACCTTCACGTCACCGGTAATAAGACAGATCACGTCATGAACTCTGATATGATGCGCTGAGACAAAAATGTGTCCCTGTAGTCTAATCATGAGAAAACCCAAATTCAGGGACATTCACCAAAATCCTGACCACTGTTCCCCAAAAGTGTCCAGGTCTTGAAAGACAAGGAGAGACTCAGAATTTACATTTAAAAAGATTGCTGGGTGCAGCATATGCACTTTGATACTGAAGAAATACTTCCTGTGCTAGATGGGCGCCAAGGAAATAAGAGATAAAGAACCACCAGCTTGTTTTGTGGTTGGTAAGTGGGTGTTTCAGGCACAGGTTCTGGATGAGTTTGCGTTAGTGGTTTATTGATAACACCTGTTATAGCTTATTAGTTTTCCTTATGATCTGCGTCTACACTGTATAAATCCTGAAAGCTTTAGCCGTACAGTTAGGAATATTACATGACAGTGCAAGACTAACTTTAAACGTCTATGCAGCCGTACCACTTTAGCTTTTTAACTCTGGAAACAATAAACATTTTCTCATTTTAAGGAGAAGACTTCTTGGGGAAAACACACATTAAGGGTCTCAGTGAGAATGTGTCAGGTAAATGCAAAGTCTTCCCTGGACCAGAAGTAAAGAAAGGTCATTCTTGGATTCTCTGACTTCACATATATGATGGTCACAAGAAAATCACATACCGAATTGTTCACTGGAAGTGCTCTGATCCATTCTGGAATGTTCACCTTTGGGAGGTGAGGAGATTTCGGGAATTTGAGAGCAAGTATTGAGTGGGAGCACATGCTACGCTTGTTTTCTTGTTGGTGGACAGTACCTGGAGCTTATTTAGCTCATCACAGAAGAATCGAGTCATGGATAGCAGTCACCCCTGCCTTTCAGAGTAGCGTAAAAATACTTAACCCTTAGGTTTCCATGTTGTGTGGGTTCCGAAACCAGTTAAAAATGAGCGCTTTAGCTAATCATCTCATTTTGTGCCCTCTACCTTGCCTTTCGCTCTGTCCATTTGCTGGCCTGCCTCGTCGGAAGAGAGGGTGTCTGTCCTCAGTTCTAGAGGGCAGGGAGCAGGAGGGCTGCTCAGCCCCTCATCTCATCCGCCCAGTGCAGTGGCGAGCTGTGGCGTCCTCATCGTAGTGCTCCAGAGTAAGCCTCTAAGAGGAAGCGGGATTTGGAATCCGCACCCGGAGCCTCCCATTGAACTAAAATGTGATGGAAACATTCACTTCTTAAGCCACAATTAGCATGCCCCAAGCATTGTGAAGTCACAGGAAATTGATTCCCATTTTGAGTTAACGTCTCTCTATCTTTCAGGGCTTCTCAAAGTCAAAAACTGTCCAATTTGATTAAATGTTTTGGACCATCTACCTCCATGGTGGGGTGGATGGTAAGATTCGCTTTGTCCCTGTAAGGAGCCTCACATTGGGGAGGGGGAATGGTGGTGAGTGACGGGGTTCCCCAGACAGGTAACCCACAAGGTCCCATTGTTACAGCGCATAGGCAATGGAAGAATAAAATCCACCAGGAAAGGCCAGAGAAGATGAGATGAGAGCAGGTCAATTAAATCTCTGAAAAAGCAGATGGCACAGTTGAAAGCCTGTGGAAACTGACTTCCACTTTCTTACCCTAAGTTGTTTTCTATTAGCCCTTAAAATAGTTGAGCTTAAGTAAGGCCCTGAAAGTGAAAGTGAGTCGCAGAATGGCCTGGGCCGGGATGGAGGCCTGGCGGGGTGGCGAGAATGCCGGCAGGAAACCTGGGACGTCATTGAGCCAATGAGGCGGGGCCCTCAGTGACTGTGGGTGGACCTCTGTACTGACAAACCTCTTAGTAATAAAGATTTACATTCTGTGCTTCAAAGAATTCTGTTTGTGTCTCTAGTGATTTTTCCTTTTTCCTCAAGGTGGGGAATCTTCAAATGACTTGAAGCAAAACTTAACCTTTCTGAACTAGAAATGGGTTTGGATAAAACTGGCAGTGAAAACTTGCTATGTGTGCTGCTGGCATTTCCTTGGTGTGAACTACACGTCTCCTGAATGTGGCAGGGAGCACAGGCGTGTTACTCTTACTAGACGTGACAGGGAAGGACTCAGGCTTCGGTTCCTGCTGCCACCTTGAAGTGCAGCCCTATAGTCCCTTTGGTAGGTAGATAGCCAGGACTGACCGGTCTGCTGCCACGCCATCCTGCTGTGAAGTCTCCTCGGCGCGAGCCGGGGATCGGCCTCGGGAGCAAAGTGCTGCATTTTATGCCCAGAACTCTTCCCTGCAGATGCCAAGCACTTCGCACCCCACGTGTCTTTAGACTGAATATGATGGCGAACTCTAGGTGTCCTCTTTATCAGCTAAAAGTTGCTGCCGCTGTCAGTAGGCAAACAATTTGCAATTAATTGGCCCTCTGGTTTTCAAATTAAACATTTTATGGATTTTTAAGATTTGTGGGGTTCGACTAATTTCACATTTTCTGCCAAGTGAGAGTTTAATATTTATTATGTTATTTTAAATTTGTATAATTTAAATTTGTATAATTCAAGTTTGTATAAAAACAATCATGCTATGTTAGGGAGGAGAAATGAAGCTGAGGGATGCAATAAGATGAAAGCAAACATATACTGCATGGGGCTCCCTCCACGCATAGCTGGTAATAAAAATTCAGTCTGACTTGCTTCGTGGGTTCTCCTGGGGATCGTTCAAGAGCTCGGTACGCCTGCTTTGCCTCAGTGGGATTTCTGTGGATCCACTATAATCTGAAACAGCACTCGCTCCTTACAGCTAACAGTAGAGCAAGAAGAGCCACCCAGACCTGGTGGCAACTGAAGGGTGCTGCAATAGCGCAGGCGCCTCCCGGAGGTCAAGGTTACTGTTCTTCAGTGATGGTTCCCAATTGTTTTATCCCTCAATCTCAAGGCACTTTTCAAGATTCTAACGATGCCATGAATGTCATTAAACAGTAGGGCAGAAGTCAACAAACCTTTTCTGTAAAGGGCTAGACAAATGAATATTTTTGGCTTTGGGGTCTCTGTCACAACCGCTCAGCTCTGCCCTAGGAGAGAGGAAGCTGGCATGGGCATGGCTGCGTTCCAATAAAACTTACCTGCAAAAGATGACAGCTGGCCAGATTTGGCCCTCAGGCCATAGTTTGAATCCCCAGGCTCTGGACTAAGGTTCTAATGCAAGTTGGAGAAAGAAGTCAAGGTTGGGAGTTGAGCAGCAGTAAGATCTTGGTAAGGAGCACTTCAGCTGCTGCCAAGCACTGTTCAGAGTGCTGTCCTCGTTTTACAGATCGCTCTGACCGTCTCCTCCAGCGCCCGTGGTCTTCACTGCTGACTTCGAGAGTTTGGGGCCATCTGGAGGAATCCACTGAAACATCTCAGTTATCTGGTGAAGGCACTGAGAGTTATAGGTCAGAAACTTTTAGTTTATTTTGGGACAATCTACTTGTGAAGGGAATGTCAGTGGCAGCCTATCAGAAGTATAATTAGCGTTGACAAAATCCCCTCCCAATGAGAATGCTTCTCTCCATCCTCACTGCCTTTCTTTGGAGAAAAACCCTCAACGTCTCTTTATAGGAATTGGGTTTTTTCAGTTGCAAGAGTAGTACAAAGAAGTATGGTATGGTCTCCTAGATTTCAGATGTTAATATTTTATATTTGCTGTATCCTCTCTAAAACTGTGCATGAATTTGTGTGTATATATAAGGTTTTTTTTCCCTGAACCGTTTTAAGATATGATGTTCATTTACCCTTAAATACTTAAGTGGCTATTTCCTACAAACAAGGACATTTTACATATAACAAGGACATTGTATAACCACAGTACAATTATCAAAATTAGGAATTTATCATTGATGCAGCTCTATCATCTAAACAAAAGATCTAATTCAGATTTTACTAAATATGCCAATAATGTCTTTTATTGCAAGAGAAAAAGGGGACTCCTTTATGAACTTTGATGGATATATTTTTCTGCAAGAATATTTATCCTGACCTACATAATCATAAATTAGGCACCATATTCCTTACAAACTACAAATTTAGTGAAATCAAAAGTCTGCAAATTTATGGTTGACAGAAATCACTTTGAATAACCATTTCCTTCTGCCATTCTGTTTGCGAGAGGAGTGGGAAAGACTGTTTCAGTAAAGTTCAGAGGCAAATGCCCAGCTGTTTTTAAAGTCTACCTAGATCATTAGTTGCAAGTGTAAATGCAGTGGGATTAGAATGTGCTAGAATCGTGGGTCAGAAATGAGTATGACCTGACATGGTGTCATTTGCTAGATTTCTTATAAAAAAACAAAAAAGGTTAAATGATCTAAGTTTCCTGTCTAGTATACACAATCCTGTTGGGCTATGGTAAGGGTTATTTTCCAGGGGTTTCTGCTAGACCCATTTATTTATCAAAGTAGTCTAAATATTTTGGGTTACTGAATTAAAATTTGTCCACCCTGAAAGTCATGTTGTTATTGGACTAAGATGAAAAAAACGTTTCTGAGATGAAGGTAAATGTATGAAACATATTTCTTTAGTCAAAGTAAATTGTTTTAGTGTAGCAAATAGATTTTCTTAAAATTTAAAAATAAGTTCAATTTGGATTAATTTAGAGTGTAGCCAACAGCTCCTTGCCCCTACATGGCTGTCATTGTCTAAGTTTGTGCCTGGAGCTCTGGTTTCCTTGGCACACCCTGTCTTGTTCCCCCGCTGTGGTCTTGATCAGAGCTCTGCACTACATCTAGCAGCTCTTCAGACGTTTCTGTGTCAGGCTTAAAATCCTTTCCAAACAAGGCGTCTCAGAGCTTGGCTGCTAGTAGAGTTGTCTACGTTGTGTGGGCTGGTGGTGAAAGGAGAGAGTTTGGGCCAGAGACCCCAGACCACTATGTCCTGCCTGCTTGGCTTTGGGCAGACTATTCAGTGTCCCCTCAGAGTGAAGGGCAACTGTCACCCTGCCTTCCGGGGCGGAGCGGGGCGCAGATCTGAGCATGTGTGTTCACCAGCTTCTGACTTTATGCTTTTTAACTCGCTGCAGACCTTGGCCGACGAGCAACTTGCAATTCAGGAGTTCTCATCAGATTTCAGACGGGCTTCCTGGTATTCTTCAGCATTTATTGGAGGGCGTTCTAGTTTGATTAAGACGCTTGACTATTAACGTGGCTTTTAAAAAGTTAAAATATCTTTTATAGATATGCTTTCCATGGACATTTTGATTGCATGACCTCTCTGTCAGTCTTAGATCTGATCCAGTAACTTTTGCATTCCAAGTGCAGTTTCTAATCTCTTGGTTATTGTTTTCCATGACTAAGTTTTGATTACACATCGAGAACTATGATCTTGAGTAAAATGGGCCAAGACATCCTATCTAGTACCAAGACCATAAGCTTGGATCCTTGGCCTGCACAATGATGGTGGCACAGGCTGTGTCTGCCACCAGCCAGCTCACGGGGGTCAGCCAGCATCTTCAGCAAGACCTTAGCAGGCCTGCTTAGACTTCTGTTTTCTGTTCTAGCTCATTTTAACTGGTTCCCCTTGTTTATCGGCCCTGTCTCTGAGAGGTGCGCTTGCCTGACATCTCTTGTGTGGGTCAGAAACCTCTGGGATGATCCCTGCATCTGCCATCTGTCATTGTTACTTGTCTTATGACTGCTCAATTGGGAGTTAATTTTCTTTTGTTTTTATGTTGCCTGGTTAGGATTGCAAATTCCCGTAACATTTTGGCACATGCTAGTTGTTTTGTTTGGTTTCTGTGACGTTGTGAGGTGGAAAAAGGAGATTAGGACCATCCTCCTGGACTGCTGTCTACCCTCCTCCGCAAGCTTTGCAGTCCTGGGAATAAACAGGAGGGGCAGAAGGGTGATTAAAGGATTTCAGTTTCTGGAGGGAGCTGGAAGACAGATGGGTATGCAGACCCAAACTCCGGGGGAGGAAAAGAGAACAGGAGAGAACACACGGGGGTGGAGAACACGGGGGCTAGTTAACACAAAACGAGTTAGTTAACACAAAACGAGTTACGGGGGAGCACGCTCTGCTGCCTCCCCACCCCCACTCCCTTTTCTTCACTGCTCTCTGGTCTCATATTCTCTTGATAAATATTCGTGATGCCTGTTTCAGATGAGGGGAGTGTTAGGGATATAAAATGGGGACACACCTACATCACAGGTTTGAAGATTAAATGAGATGATGCTTAATATAGTGCTTAGGAGTCAGTAAATGGTAACTATGGTAATTGTTATCATCATCAACTTTGCCTGTTCTTTTAATCTTTGTCAACCTCACGTGATGCTGATTTAAATTTGCACACAGTCAGAATTTTGTCTGTAATAAACTTACATCATAGAATCTTAGAAATTTAGAACTGGACAGAAGCTTAGAGGTGTTTAAATTAGTTCAACCTGCTAATTAAAAGCTTGGCCATGGTTGTAAAGTAAACACTTGTTGTAAGGGCAAGGCCCCCCGACAGCTGTGTGCTCCTCCTATGAGGACTCTGCCAGCACAGCGTGCGAGCCCACGCTCTGTGTGGGACCCCGCAGACCCCTCCCCGCAGCTGTCCTGGATAGCCGCTAGGTTTCGGACACCCTCTTGTTCTCTCCAGGGAAGCACCTCTTCTCTCACGCTTTTTATTGTAAATTGTGATAGATTCTGTTACTATACAGTGTTGTAACTTTGTGTATTATTTGTTTTTCAGTGATACTTTATTGAGAATTTTAAATTCTATTAAATGGTTTTAGACAATTTGCACTATTGAGTATGAATTCTTAGAATCTTAGGGCCAAGATTTCTTATTCGCACATATGTCAGTGGGAAAATGACTTGAAAAAGTTTTAATTTTACCTTCAGTATCTGAGTGTAAAATGAGCTATAGTTAGATTTAGGTATATAATCATCAAAATCAAGATAATGTCTCTTTGAAACATAGCTTTCTTCTGTAGAGGTACAAAAATGACCTCTGTCATCTAATTCCTTTTCAAGTCTCAGAACGTTTTCCGTTTGAACTGTAAAAAATAGAAGCACAAGCGCAGGGAAGGGTAGCTGAGGGCCAGGGGTGGTTTCCAAGTTTTTAATGCTTTTTTGACTTTTTCTAACGAGAAGATGATTAGAACCAAAATCTCGGCTGCTCTTGCAGCTGGAGTGAAAGCGGGGTCAGGCCAGGGACTCAACGTGCTAGTTTCAGGATTATTTGTGCTTGCAGGAGCATTGGAACCTCGAGGGCATGCCTTTATTCACTCACCAAGCGCTCATGGACGGTCCTGTGTCCACTGGGGACCAGTGCATAGAGCAGTGGTTTTTACATTAAGGTGCAGTCGACTTTCAGCCACTGGGGGAGCTGTCACAGCCCCAGAGCAGCCGTAGCCAGTATGCAGACAGCTGGGCGTGGCTGTGTTCCAATAAAACCTTCTTTGTGGACACTGAAAGTGGAGTTTCCTAGATTTTCACGTCACAGTATATTGTTGTTCTTCTGATTTGGCTCATAGGCTGTACAAAAACAGGTCGGGGGCTGGATTTGGCCCATGGGGCCATAGTGGCCTAGAATACATTTGTCGAGCGAATGAATAAAATGAGGTCATATATAACGTGGCAGGGCAGTGCCAGGTGGAGAAAGGCTTGACACCTGAATCGAGGAGTTTAGACGTGTTGTGAGCAGAGGGGGCTTTGGAAGGTTCTGGGCTGGGCTCTGGGAGGATGAGCCCTCTTCAGCAGTATATACTCTATACACTCTGGAATTTATCTACAGGATGGGTGAGGAGCATTGGCTTCCTGCCTCAACCATGTGTGGCTTTGGGAGAGACGAAGGGGCCACCCTGCCTGCCAGATCAGTGGACTCCACTTTAGGGTGTGTCACAGAGAGATGACGCCTACCACGTCCTTGGGGCTGGAGGCAGGGACTCGGTAAGAGGCCAGTTCATAGGTGACGAGGCACCTAGCAGACCAGGTGCAGTGGGAGACAGGAGGAAGAGCAAGTGTTTCTTGGAGGAGCTGGGAGATTGGTGGTATCTCCTTGAGCAGTGTTCTTAGGGAAAAGGAATTAATAGGGACATGAGATGAGTCCAGCTTTGGAAGTGCTGGAGTGGGCTTTCTTGTCATGTGGCCATAGGGTGGTTTGAAACACTGGCCTAGAGAAAGCGTTGGTGAGAGGTCAAGGCGGCGGACAGAGACTTGGGGGGATGCACGCTGCCCTCCCATTGTGCTCTGTGTCCCGGGAGCACAGAAGGGGGCCCGCACGGTGTCCGTCAGTTCTCCCTGTGGCTGGAGCAGCCCGCCTGAGGCGGAGCCGGGTGGATGAACTCTGTCTGCAAGGGAGGAGCTTTCGAAGGAGGGCAGAGGTCCTGGGTCAGCCCTGGAGGAAGGCACAGCAGGGCGGGCTGAGTGAAGAAGGCCGGTGTCCAAAGGCCCTGAGAGGTTGTTTACCGGGCTC